AAATATATATATATATATATATATATATATATATATATATATATATATATATATATATATATATATATATATATATATATATATATATATATGGGGCCAAAATGGCCCTTCTAAAATTAATGTATATATACTACACTGATGAGGCCCATAAGGCCGAAACGGTACCGTCTGTAGTTAGATATCGCCCTATTGAGCGCTCTACAGGATGAGCCATTGCCGCTTACACGTTGCGTACGCTCACTGCTTGCAGTTTGAACGCTCTGCCATGCTTTTGATGTCCCACATTCGTGAGGCGTCAAAGGTAACTGTAAATAGCAGTTACTTTCATCCTGCTCATCAGCACTACACTGATGAGGCCCATAAGGCCGAAACTGTACCGTCTGTATATATATACATATATATATATATATATATATATATATATATATATATATATATATATATATATATATATACATGGTGTATCAAAAAAAAGCGCAATCCTCGACTGAAATGTAAATTGCTAAACAAATAATAGACGAAAACGTTAAAGTTTACATTCATTTTAAAGCGTAGCCATTCAGCTTTCTAACAGTGGGTTGTTTCTTAAATTTGACTCATTGGTTCGCGGATAATAATACTTAACGTTATTGCGATTGGAGATTAAAAAAATTGAGATGGAATAACAAATCGTTCTCATGAAAATAACTGATTTTTTCATTAAAACAACAAAATGTTGCATTTTATTAAATGGATTGTAACAATAAGTATAATTACGGCTTCTCTTCCACTATTTTCAACAGAGTTTGAAACTTCAAATGCGATATAATTTTGGCTTGGACCATCTAAGCTGACTGACATCAACTTGCTATAATTTCTGTTTACATTACATCGCAATTCGATGACACTCTGGCTCAGACACCAGAATGTTTTGACGATTTTTAGCATTCGTTTACGATTTTCAAACAACATGTTCTCTTTTAAAATACTTTTAATTTGTTCTTACGTGGTTTTCCAGATGTAGTGACGACAACATTAAAAATTAAAGAAGAAAATTCTAACATTTAAATCGACTAAACAATAACATAGCAACTAAAAATGATAGGTTTTACTAAATCTGTTCCTGTGCAATTATTGCTAGCATTGGAGACAAGGATAATAGTTTGTTTGAAAGAGAAAAGAACCGGCTTTGAAGTAAGCCTAAAAGCGTTTAATTAGAAATAGTATTTCGAAAGTTATTAAGCACAAAAGATGAATTGCGTTTATTTTGATACACCCTGTATATATATATATATATATATATATATATATATATATATATATATATATATATATATATATATATATATATATATATATATACAGAAGGTACAGTTTCGGCCTTATGGGCCTCATCAGTGTAGTGCTGATGAGCAGGATGAAAGTAACTGCTATTTACAGTTACCTTTGACGCCTCACGGATGTGGGACATCAAAAGCATGGCAGAGCGTTCAAACTGCAAGCAGTGAGCGTACGCAACGTGTAAGCGGAAATGGCTCATCCTGTAGAGCGCTCAATAGGGCAATATCTAACTACAGACGGTACCGTTTCGGCCTCATGGGCCTCATCAGTGTAGTGCTGATGAGCAGGATGAAAATAACAGCTATTTACAGTTACCTTTGATGCTTTACGAATGTGGGACATCAAAACCATGCCACATGTACAGCGCTAAAGCTGCAAGCAGTTTGCCCTTTGGACTTGGTGTTTACAAAGAAGACCTCCGTCCGATATTTCTCATCAAGGACCTCGCGCTCTGTCACGTTAATAAGAAGTCAATAATCCATGATTTTTATATCTAAAATTATGCCTGAAGAGCTTAATTGCTGTAATATAGCATACTAATATACAAATAACTAATCCAAATAGAAATAACTATTCAGTATTTAATATACAGTTCACAAACACTATAGCACGCGTTTATCTCGTTTTATTGAGTCTTAAACACTACATTATGGCGACAAGGACACACAGTTGGAGTTAGTAAACTCTTACTTAGTCAATCTACAACGTCCAGTACACATCGAATTTCAAAGCTCAAATTCGTATAAAAACAATATTATATTCAATATATTTTTCGTAGTCGTTCGCCGTTTTCTACATCTATTCGTGGCAGCTACTAGTTTCTCCTTGCCGCCATTCCCGCCATTGGTTGTCCGATGGAAATACTGGTCATCGTTGGAAAAAATGGATATGCCGCTTTGAAATGTTACTTGTGGCGATGACTATTACCGACAAAAAAACAACAACTTGCGATGCTATTACACTTCGCAGAACTGGCTGTTGACGAAATTTTTGACACCCTTTAAAGACTACGACAAAGCAATAGAAGCATTCCATGCCTATTTTATTCCGCACGTAAACATGGCGTTTGAAGAATATAATTTCTGCCAAGCGAAGCAAAACCAAAGCGAAACACAAGATGTCCTTCATACACGTTTACTTCAGGTATCGCAAAATCGCTCGTTTACAGATGTCGATTAAGACTTAAAAAACCAAATAATCGTTGGTTGGTCATCACAGAAACTTCGACGAAAGGCTCTACGTAAACACCCGACCTTAAAGAACCTTTTAGACGCGGAAAGAGCAGGAAAAAACGAGTAATATACAAGCCCAATTCGTAGAGAAACAAGAGTCGAATCAAACGCCATTAAGACGGGCCCCTCGCCTCGCGACATGAAAAAACCACCAAATCAACGGCAAGGTTCAAATTACCAAAGAAATTTCAAAAAACACAAAACATCAATTTGCCGCAACTGTGGTGGTATCTACCCCCATGCCCGAGATTGTCCAGCAAAAGGAAAAAAATCTCATTCCTGTAAAAAACCCGGCCATTTTGCGAAAGTATGCCGATCGACCCCTACACAAAAACCTCACGAACAACGGAACAGGGTCAACAAACTTTCCGAATAACCTTTCCGAACAGTAATATGCTTGCAATGTTACTTTGAGAGTATATCCACACCGGGTAGGCTTAAAAAGTATGCCGCGGTGGGAATGGAACTTACGATCTTGGAGTACTAGCCCAATTCTCTGCCAACTGAGCTACGAGGTCAGGTCAGTTCGAGTATGTGTTATTTCGGAACTGAATTTAGTTCCTTCGTTATCATCTTATTCACCTGAGCACATTACATCAACACAGAAAATATCATGATTACTAAGCTACATTGATACCGAAGGAAGTGGATTCAGTTCCGAAATATCACATGCTCGAACCCACCTGACCGCGTAGCTCACTTGGCAGAGCATTGGGCTAGTATTCCAAAGGTCGTAAGTTCGATTCCTACCGTGGCAAAGCATACTTTTCAAGCCTGCCCGGTGTGGGTTTACACTCAGAGTAAGATCACAAGCATCTTTTTTTACCTGAGTACATTACATCAACACAGAAAATATCATGATAACCAAGCAATAACCCACATGATGTCGACCGTGATTACATTTTCACTTTGGAAAAAATTCGAACAGCAAAACCCAACTCCCCAAATGTCAAGTATTGGTTAAAGATGACCCTATTGATGTCTTCATTATCGATTCTGGAGCTTCCGTAAACATCATTGAGGAGTCCACATACAAGCAGCTAAAGCGACGTGACACCCTACCTCTCAAACAGCCTGAGTCCAACATCTTCCCCTATGGTGCAAGTGTCCAGATACCCATTCTTGGAATGATCATGCTTACCATTCAGTTCCATTCCACAACTTTGGATGCCAATCAGCCAATTTCTATCTGGCCGAGGGAACCGGTGGAAATCTCTTACGTTGCAAAACAGCCGAAAAGTTAGGAATTTTACGGATAACCATTAATACAGCAGTTAGCTCTTACAACGCTCGCATTGAAGATGAGTTCTCGAATTTGTTCGGTGGTATTGAGAGGATTAAGAACACATAAGTCCAGTTACATATGGATGCTGACGTTACACCCAATCAGCAAAAACATCGTCGCATCATTCCACATCCAAAAGTACGTTGAAAAGGAACTCCAGCGTTTAGAAGATCTTGATATCATTGAGCAAGTTGATGGTTCGACAACATGGGTCAGCCCAATCGTTGCACCCACCAAAACTGGAGAGATCCGATTATGTGTGGACATGCGTGAAGCGAATAAAGCAGTACAAAGAGAAAAACACCCTATTCCAACTGTCGACGAGTTAATCACATACTTCAACGGTGCCACAGTGTTTTGCACCATAGATCTAGTCTCAGTTTACCACCAATTGGAGTTACTCCCTGAATCCCGCCATTTCACAACCTTTACCACTCAAGTTGGACTTCGCCGTTACAAGTGACTAATGTTCGGCATTAGTGCAGCTATGTGGTTGAGATGACAAAGAATATAATGAGAATTTACGAGCCGTGTTAACCAGTATACAACAAAACAACGCCAAATTAAACGGTGAGAAATGTTCTTTCCGTCAGCACCAAGTAGTATTCTTTGGGCACACATTCAGCTCAGGTAGAGTTCAGGCAGACCAAAACAACATTGACATCATCCGGAATATGCAACTTCCAAGAAATGTCGACAAAATCAAGTCCCTTCTCGGAATGACCCAGCAGGTATTTCGGTTTATTCCCAACTATGCCTCCATCACAACACTCTTGCGTACCCTGACCCACCAGAACGCCAAACGGAAATGGCAAGCGGAACAAGAAAACGCCCTCAAGAAACGTACGAGCATACCAAGGATCCTGTTATGGCTTACTTCGACCCTTCGAAACCGACCACGGTCATTGTTGATGCTAGCCCCTCGGGTGAGGAGCACTGTTTACTCAAGAAGGCAGAGTTATCCGTTATGCAAGTCATGCACTTTCCAGTACAGAATCCCGCTGTTCGCGAACTGAAAGAGAGATGTTAGCCGTTATGTGGGCTATCGAGCACTATCATCTTTACCTCTATGGTGCTAAATTTACTATCATCACCGACCAGAAGCCGCTACTCGGAATATTTAAATGTCAGAAACCGACTTCGGGGAGAATCGACTTCTGGAGACTCAGACTGATGCCCTACGATTGCGAAGTTGTTTGCAAACCAGGAAAAGACGCAGAAAACCCTGCAGACTTTCTCAGTCGTCACCCCAAATCTGTTGTTTCTTCGCCTGCCGACAACACCACCGAATCCTATACCAACTATTTGTGCATCAACCTCATCCCCCAAGCTATGAAACTAGACGAAGTGAAGAAAGAAACCGCTAGCGACCCAGTCCTTTGCAAGCTTTCTCAAGCAATCACACACAACCGATGGCTCGTGCCTGAAGTGAAACCGTTCGTAAACGTAAAGGACGAACTGTCTGCAGTGGATTAATCGCCAGAAACTACCGTCTGGTGCTGCCTCGTTCACTGCAGAGCCCAGCCGTATATCTTGCACACGTAGGCATAGTCAAAACGAAAATGCTAGATAAGATGGCCGAACAGAAATGCCTGCCATGCAACAACCACAGGTACCTATCGACATCCAGAACCCTTGATTATGACACCACTGCCCGACGCACAATGGCAAGACGTTGCTTTTGATTTTGTTGGTCCGTTTCCATCAGGTGAGCTGCTACTCGTTGTCATCGATGAATTTAGACTATTCCCCGAAGTATAAATAGTCACCACTACGAGCGCAAAAGCTGGATAACATATTTTCCCGCCAAGGTGTTCTTGTTGTTCTTAAAAGTGAGAAACGATCCGCCATTTAACAGCTCTGAATTTGAACAATTTGCCAGTTACCTTGGTTTTGAACATCGCAAAGTCACTCAGTATTGGCCAAAGGCGAATGGAGAAGTGGAACGGTTTATGCGCACCATTAATTGAAATAGCCATACGTGCAGCACACATCGAGAAGGAGGACTGGAACAAGCCTTGTATCAATTTCTCCGCCAGTACGGTGCCACACCGCACAGCACAAAGAATGTGTCACTATCCGAGGACCTGAATAATCGAAAGTTGAAGATACTACTTCTGCGTATTCCAAAAACTCAAGGACAAGAAACCCAAGGTCCAATGTGAAAATGAGATCAAGAAAAGGGAAAAAAGTTTCATCGACAACACTCGAAAACAACTGGTCTGAAAATAGGAGACACAGTCCTGATCCGCCAACGAAAGAAGAATAAGGTTACCATACCGTTTAATCCCAAACTATACACAGTTGAAGCTCGGAAAGGAACTATGGTTACCGTCATACGTGGCTCGAAGAAGATTAGCATATCCTTCCTCGAAAATGACGACGATTTTGATTGCGATCGAATCAACGGTAGGAAGACCAAAACAATCAAGAACCTGTTCATTTACGAAGATCCCAGGGAGAAAAAAAGTCAACCACATAGACTTGGATTTGAACGTTGAACTATCAATGACTATAGTTAACAATTATTCGCCGAAGGCGAGGTGATTATCGGTGAATAAAAACCGAGACGAAGTCGAGGTTTTTATTCACGATAATCACCGAGCCTTAGATGAATAATTGTTTTAGTATAATTTCATAGGTGATTATTTGGAAAACAACAAGAAAATACACATTTCTTCGTCATTTAATTGACAAAAAGGCTTCGGCCTTCTTCGGCTGCCATTTTGAAAATCGCTTAGGTGATTATCGCGTAATAATCACCTCAACGGCAACCAATCAGCGTGGAGAATTTTCAATAATCACCTATGTAATTATACTAAACACATATATTGTATATTAACAGTTAAGATTTTGTTGACATATAGAATAACATATAACGTGAAGAACAGATAACTTATACTAATGTGGGGAGGGAAGTAATATCGCTAATTAATATGCTAATAACTAATGCAAATAAGAATAATTAATCAGTATTGAATATACAGTTCACAAACACTATAGCACGCGTTTATCTCGTTTTATTCAGTCTTAGTTAAACGCTACAATTACCACACATAGCATTATCAATCTATTGGATATTACATATACCTTCACCATTTACTAATTTGGAATAAAAATGTTTTATAGGTCTCTTCCCGGAGCCTTACTTGCTTGTTGTCAGTGAAACAAGAGTAGCAGTTGTTCATCTCTTATCCAATTATTCAACAATTGTCGCAAATGAACCTAACAGAATAAAAAACTTGATCATTGATCCAGTTGAGGAGAAAATGTATTTCAAAAGTGGAATAAAAGTGTACCGAGCGAATTTAGATGGCTCTAATAGAAAAGTTATTTATCAAGATAAAGTATATCCTATTCGATTATTTGCATTAGACTGGATAGGACGCCGCATGTTCTGGGTGTATTCAAAGAAAAAGAAATCGATATTTACGGGCAATTTGAACCTCTCTAACGGACTAGAAATTACTGAAAGTGAAATCAGATTTGAAAGTTTGGCTGTCGATCCTAATACCGGGTGAGTCATTCAGCGTTTGTGATTACAGTATGCCAAAGGATGTAGATCGTTGTTTTGCTCTGATCATCATAATTCAACAACATTCAGCAATAAAATTAATAAGGTCTTCAAATTTTATTGAAATTAATGTTCACATATATACATAGGATAATAAGATCAACCACAAAGTTCTTATGTTCTTTATATACCCATAACCCATATTATATTATATTTTTCTTGAATTTTCTAAAAGGTTTCTGCAATGTTTATCTATTTTAGAAAGTAACAAACAATTTCGTAATAGCCGGTTCCCCTTATTCGCGAAAGGCCGCAAAGTATTGTGGTAAAAGTATTCAGCAAGCTCGAATATGGCGTCCAATATTATTGACGAGGACCCATCTACTTCTAGCGTTATTTCTCTGTCATCTCAGCCAAACTCTAGTTCTTTTCAGAACTCTTGCACGAGTTTGGTTTCTGAGATACCAGTAGAAGGTATCATTTGATGTGGAAAACGTTTGTCCGAACAGTAATGTTGAAGGAAATGTTGACATCAATCAGCGTGGAGAAAATGGTTGGACTCGATCTCTGATTAATCTTCCGGCCTTTGAATACGCGTTTATTCTCGAGCATTTGGTGGAAAATTCGGAGACAATGCTCGATAATCGTCCTACTGGCGGCCATTCGCCACGAGAAAATGGGATATCGCTTATTTAAAGAGAATTATGTAAAACATTTTCGTGTCAAACCGAATGAGCAAGTCAACTCCAAACTCTTTTTGGTTAAGAGCCTTGTGTGCGCGTCCATGAAACAGCAATCATACACTGTTTATGCCCATCTCTCCCAAACAGATGGTAAGGTTGTAAAAGCAATGTGTTCTTGCAAGCCTGGGGCTGGGGGGTGTTGTAAACATGTCGCAGCTAGTCTGTTTCAAATACATGACTTTGTGCAACTAGGTTTAAGTGTTGTCCCTGATGACAAAAGCTGTACTGATGTTTTACAGCAATGGAATGTTCCAAGAAATATGGATACACACGGACTATTACTATTTACTGAATTGAAATTTGAAAAGGCTAACTTTGAAAGGGACAATAATAGTAATAGGAAAAGATCTATTTTGTCTGCATCAAGAGATGGCTACTGTGCTACCCTACCTATGGCAAGGGAAGTAAGTGTTGAAAGGATAACGAAATTGAAAGATAGTTTAACTGGTTCTAATACTCTTCTTAGTACATTACTTTGTGACAGTGATTGCAAACTATGTACAATATTTCCAACTTCATTGAAAACTCCAGTATATTGTGATAAGAGTTTAATCACAGTCGACCCAAGATAAGAGATTTTTGATGGCTTGGCACAAGAAATTGAGTGGAAACATGTCCATGGACCAATTGAGAAAGAAACTATGGGCTAATCTTCCAGTAATAAATGGTTTATAGTTTTTATACTTCTTCTAACTTTGGCTCTGTGATCAAAAGAAGAATGCACATCTACCCAAAACGAATTCTGAAAAAGTACTTGGACATGAAAGATTGTCAACTCTAGCTTGTCACTGGGGGTTAGAAAATGAACAAGTTGCAAAGGAGAAGTTCAATGAAAAACCTCCCATTGCTGAACTTTATGATTGTGGAGTCATTATCAAACCACAATGGCCCTGGTTGGCTTGCAGTCCTGATGGGTTGAGTTTACTAAATGGCAAATGGTATGCAATTGAAATAAAATGCCCATTTTCAAAAAGGGACATGACCATTGAAGAGGCATGTTCTGATAAAACCTTCTGCATGACCCTTATTGATGAAAAGCCAATGTTAAAAAAAATCATCAATACTATTTTCAATGTTTAGGTGTAATGGCACTATGCCAGTCACCTTTTGTAGATTTCATAGTTTATACACAAAAGACATTTGTATAGAAAGAATTAATTTTGACAAACAATTATGGAACAAAAACATGCTTCCCAAACTCTAAGATTTTATTTTAAATTTATGATGCCAGAAATTCTAAAGGCATGTGTTCAGTAAAGTAAATATTAAAATTGAACTAAATAGTTATAACATTTCTATTCTTACCAAGGGGTATATATAATAAATCACTACATAAAATGAACCAAATAATATAAATTCACAAATATCATGTTTATATGGCAAGTCTTTCCAATGTCACAACAGGTCGCAGCAGCAAAATGTGGTGTTTGTGCAACTAACTCACAAGTACTCTTAAGTTCTGGGCAAACTAGGAAACGTTGGAAACATTTGTGATTCTCAATGTTTCCTTGAATGTTTCCCTGTTTGCCCATCTGTGGAAACATTGTTGAGGAAAGAAAATTTGCTTCCCGAGAAGCAAAACTGTTTCCTAGCGAATTCAGAAACACTTGATGCTTCCCTAAGTTTCTCACTAATGTTTCCTAGTGTTTGCCCACTCTGGGAAACATGGCGAAACAATGGCAGGAAACAATGTTTCCGCAACAATGTTTCCTTGTTTGCCCAGGGCTGTAGACTGTAATACTCACTTAAGTCAACTAATGTATGCAGGGCTATATAAGAGAAGAATAGACCTCTATTCCTAAGTCAACATTCAAATTAGTAATGTGCAACTTGCACATTATTCTGGACCAAATAGTGAAAATTGCACATCAGTTCTCCAATAGCCTGTGTACAGCCAAAACGATGTGCAAAAAAGCATCAGACTTGTGACTATTAATGAACATGCATCCATACTTATCAAGCTGCTGTCTTTATATAATTTATAAACAAGCACTTTTGCATGAACACTAGCGGCATGTTTGCAAACTGGAAGGTGTCACCACATTCTAGCCACCATGACAGTTGCACATCATTTTTTCTCAACTGATTCGAACCCTGCCCTCCGTACAAAATGCTCAATAGACTAAGAGCATCTTGTTTTACTTTATATACCTACTGGTTTTTTGGTAACTTACCATAACAAAGTTTTCATCTACTATGTATTACCATCACTGACTAAAGGAGGTAAAATATTAACAAGGTAACAACAAATCACCAAAATTTTAATTAGTTCTGCAATCATGCTTGTTGGATACTTTCGTTGCAGTATCCTATAGTTTTTAATTCGTTCAATTGGCCGCTCGACATGTATGCGTACAGAGGCAATTCTCCTTGTTTCTGTCTCCTCTTCTATAGTTAACTGGTCTTTACCCCTCATGAAGGCTGGAATGTTTAGTGTGACACCTTCCGGTAAGTATTCCAAAATGTCAAACCCTCGATCAGCCATAACTGAATCACCTTCTTCCAATAATTGTAAAATGCCACTGTGTTTGGTAGTACATTGGTCACTTGTTCTACTAGAATAAAACTCTGAAACAAAGGTAACTGCTCCATTAGGTGCTATTCCAATAACACCTTTAGCTGTGTTCTGGTGCTTGTAGCTTGAGAACGTTGCACTCTGTGTTCGATATGAAGATGCCATTTCAATAAATAATTCTGTGCAGTCTAAGATGACTCTAATTGTTGGGTACGAGATTCTAAAACAACTTGGCATGGTTTTCTGGATGGATGCCTTGGACGCCCAGATCGGTATTGCTCTCAAATGCGAATGTAGTATATCTATCCATGTAATGCATATCCGGCTGAGGTGGTTAGTACGTGGACAGTTTGCATCTTACAGCAAGGTCTTGTTCAAGAAGACCACATCTCAGCCTTGCTAAGACAATGAACAACTCTTGTTCAGGTTTCATTTGTCTCTTTGGACCACATTTTGAGAACTCTGAGTCATCATTTCTGGTATTTGATCCCCAGTAGTTTATTTTATTAACTGCTGGTCCCAAGAATTCAAAAAAGATCTTAAACAAATCATAAATTTAAAATCCAGTATAAAACATAAAAAGTTTTGGATTGTCTTTAAATGTTTCTAGAGAGAATTCATTCTGTTTTAGTTAAGTTCGGTAATAGTGTTGGTCAATTCCTCAACCTTTTTATTATGCTCTAGCTTAAGTACGGTAATAGTGTTTGTTAAATCCTCTACCTTTTTAGTGTGCTCTTGCGTAAGCTGTTCTATTTTCTCTTTTAGTGTTTGGTTTTCCTTTCGTAGTCTTTTCAATTCATTCATAGCTTCCTCCGGCTCATTTTTTTCAACGTCTTGCTCAAAACGTAGTTTCTTTGGTAGTAGAGCTGAACGCATTCTTCCTTCTGAACTATTTATTGTCGTACGTGGCTTGGCTGTCGTTGGTCTTGTTGTCTTTAGTATTGGCACATTTAAGGTTGGAATATTGTTCATGTATGTTTTTGTGCCTCCAACAAGTTGGGCTGAACAAACTCGATGAGAAGACGAAGGGACAACATTTTTCCTTTCAAGCATGTGGAGCCACTTCTTCCTTCGGTTCGAATGCTTGGAAATAACGTAAAAGGACAATTCTTTATTCCTGATAGAATTCTTGAAACAGTTTGGAACACAGCATGTAATGCCACCACCACTGTGATACGTCGATTTGGGAGTTGATTTTTCCTCCAATGACAGCAATAAACAATCTGAAATACTTCCCAATGGTATCTCAGAAACCAAGCTCGTGCAAGAGTTCTGAAAAGAACTAGAGTTTGGCTGAAATGACAGAGAAATAACGCTAGAAGTAGATGGGTCCTCGTCAAAAAAATTGGACGCCATATGGATTGGAGCTTGCTGAATACATTTACCACAATCCTTTGCGGCCTTTCGTGAATAAAGGGAACCGGCTATTAAATTTCCGGCAGAATTGCTTCGGTTAGAATAAAGCGCTTTGCTAGACAACACGATATTTCGTACAAAAGTATTAAAGAACGTCGTAAGCCAAACAGTTGTGTTAAAAAAAATGTAATTTATTGCAAAATATTCCTATGGTTATTTATCGGTGGGAAGATTACAGATTTGTACTTTTCTCCTATAATTGCGGATCAGTCAACACGAAGGAAATATTTGGAAGCGAATTAGACCTTGTAGATAACCGTTGCATATGTTTATCACCTGATAACACGAATGTAATAACAAGTAAACCAGCTATTAATCGCTGTTCTTTTTCAAATTTAAACAACGAAGAATTCAGCAAGTCTGAACTTAAGCTGAAGGACGGGAAATTGTTTTGGGATGGATCGGTCGGTGAATTGAGGTGTTTTGTTTCTGTGGTAGTTAATTTAACGAGTTGGGCAAATGGTCATCTCAATGGAAATGTCAAGTTATTTACCAGTAATGGACTGTTGTTATGGTTGTTCTTGTGGTCTTGGAGGAGGAATCTCACCCTAAATTGGTTAAGCTACTTGAAAATATTGCGAATGCTAATCTAGTTAATGGTGGATGTCGACAATGAGGTGGAACAGGTGGGAAAAATATCGTCCACCGACGGGTTTTCCGTCGATAATTTCCGTCCTACTCACCCAAGGGTTTATCCAACACAAAATCACAAATACCTCCAGTGAATGTCGCCATAAGACAACCAGGTTTTGAGTACTGACTATAACACAGGGTGTATCAAAAAAACTGAACAGATTTGAAATTGCTCTCAATTTCACAAGACAACTATTAGTATCCAGTTTTTGATACTTATAGTTTCCTTGGCTACTTATAATGTAGAATAATGAAAAAAATATCTCAAACTCAAATTCAAAATATCTCAAACAGCAAATTAGAAATGGCTTGCGCACGAAATGTAAAAGCTTTAATCGTATTTTGAGTTAATGATGGAAAATTTGTTGGGTTTTTAATTACTGTACTAAATTTCAGACAATTTCCGTTAGTTTAACTCTTTTTCGTTTGGTGCTGAAATAACCAGGTCGAAACCGACCTGGTATTTTGCAGGTTCATATTTTCGGTTCAGTGCATGCTATATAGATGAAAATAACACCATTCGATTCAGTGAAAAAATTCCTATCGATAGATATAATAAAATGTCAACATTATAGCGATTTACGACCTTTAGAGGGCAAGCGGTGTCTTATTTCACTAGATTACACAATATTCCCGAAAAATGTAAGAATGTAATAAAATGTATCACAAAGGCATACCTTTCGCCGAACATAACTTCGGCCCCTTTCAAGATATCTTTTTCATAATAGTCTTGTTCGAATCACAATCCAAAACACTATTTAGAGTGTTATTTTCAAGCTTGTATCAACAGATTTGCATCTTTTATTTCGGATTTTCAAAATATCTAAATTTTACGCGAGAGCTTTGACGGCGGTTCGACCGGAAATACACTTTAGATCTGCCAAAACATTGCGTTGTTTAAATCCTATCGCTCGGGAAACGTCGGAAATCGATTCTAAAGGTCAAATTACACCTGCAGCGTGATTTGCACGTGCATCGGGGTACGGGTGCTCCTTATTGGCCAATCTTAACGTGTGGCGGGCGCGTGCGAGTAAAAACCCGATATTTTGAAAAAATCAAAATAAATATATTTCTACTTGCCGTATTCAAACGAAATTTTCCACACGAATTCCGAGGAGTTCAAGAGATATTCAAGATTTTCTGGATATGAAATACAGAATATTTGGCAAAGCGGTGAGTAAAATACACGATTGTTTTGGTTTGTGTAATGTTATAACAGCATTTGACCCCCCGTTCGAAAGGTTATTTTATGAGGATTTCAACGGTGGTTTCCGTTTTAAAGGGGGGGGGGGGTAAATACTCTTTGAGATATTTACATCGGAAGCAATTGAATGAAAAATATGAAATTTATTGCGGGACGATAGAGAGTTTTAAGTTCCTTTAACTATTAATTTTTTCCTAAAAAATCAGCGTTTCGCATACTTAATTATGCCTTTACCTAATTTGCATATTGCTGACATAAGCAAATTAGCCAAACGCATTAATTAAGCATGCAAAAGGCTAATTTTTTTTAGGAAAAAATAAATAGTTAAAGACTTTAAACTGACACAAATTTTCTGAAATTTCGTGCGCAAGCCATTTTTATTTGCTGGAAAAACACTTCCCCCTGCTTTACAAAATTTGAGTTTCAGAATTTTTTTTCATTATTCTACATTATAAATACCCAAAGAAACTACAATCAGTTTCAAAAGTCTTGGGACAAATGCCACAAAACCTTTGAATTTCAAAAAACGTCCATCCCCCAGCCCCCTGTTCAATCTTGTGTCCCATTTCTCGTCAGGCTTCATGTGTTTTGTTTGGAGCAACATTGATTGGGGTGGGGGGAGGGGGATCGGAGCTGTATTGTGTGTAAAAAACTGTAGGGATCCACTTACAATCTAAAACTACATGTGTCCCAACAACTTCTGAAAGTGATTGTCTGGGCCCCATATGCCATAAAACCATTGTATATCTCAAACGTACAGGGATAGAATGCTCTGCGAACGAAGTATTTCTGCTCCATTTGGTTCACAGAATATCTAATATAACATTTTAAAGCAATTAAGTGCCATTAAAATTCTCAAAGTTAATAATTAACAGGATATGAATATAACTTGTTATGTCATATAGCATTTTTAATCGTTGTTTGTTTTTACAAATTTCGGCAGAGCACAAGTGGGTTATTTGAGAGGTTATATATAGTCCGTCAATATAAAGATAGGTATCGCGAATGTTTTACGCTAGAGATGTCACACTTACTGTTAATTTATAGCATAGTAATATAACATCCGGTTACTTTCGCATGCGGGTAACGGCTGAGTCAACTGCTAATTCGGGTACTCCGAAGGTAAAGGACGTTTGCTTTATAATCACTTATGGTCAATGTGACATGTCACATCTTTCTGGAGCAGAATTTTCAGATATAATTGTCGACGCATGGGTAGGAAGGAGCACTAAGTAGGTGGGAATGTCGGAGGCTTATGGAAAGGGGGGTAGTCACTTCCACACGGCAAAAAAATTGTCCACAAGATCGAGGTGGCGAGCTATCGGAAAGCTCGAGAAGAGTAAATGTGGCATTTAATTGAAGTCAATTCCGAAGACAATCTCAAAAATTACTATTCAGCGTATTGGTACGTGGTAAAGGAAGACCCGGACTAAGTGATTTCTCCAGGGCTTATAGACCTCCCCAATGCTGACGCGTTAGCGAGTACTAGCGCGACCCGCCGAAGCAAGAAATTAAGTTGCACAGGCTTCCAAAAACATGTAACGAAAGGGACTCGCAGTATACGGCGTTGTATGATACAACACTGACGTTAGTGTTATACGCTAATTATGCTAATAAGCGTTTCCGGACGAGACGAATGCAATGAAACTAACATCGGTTGACACTTCGATTGTCACTAGAGAAATATGAAATAACAGGCAACTAGACATCTTTTAAAACAGAACAAGGCCAAAAATAATCTGTTGAGAATGTCTAACAATGTATCTGCTATTAGTGAAAGGGTTTGAAATTGATTAAACCAAGTTTTGGATCGATTGACACTTTTTTACATTAATACATCTGATATATCATAGTGATATTTCTAGAGTTGAGTGTCAATCGATACATTTTATACAACTTATATACTTTGTGATTAAGTAGAACCCGTAACATATCAATAAGCGCTCCTTAAACACGTTTGCTTGGTACTTAATGTTCTGACAATGATTATGCCGCGACAATTGAAAGTTATAATAAATGACAGAGATCCTGCAGGATCCTTTTCCCAACGAGCAGGAAAGGAGCAGCCATACCAAGAGGATCGTAAATTGAACTAACTGTAGCCAAAACTCCTCTACGAGTTAACGGTGTATCTTTAAGGACGATCCTGAACCCAAACGCATCTGAGTCCACCAGCCAATCTACGCCAAGTACACGTTCGAGGTGTATGTTGTCGTTACGCAACTCGAACCGTTTCAGTTGTTTCGCTCTATCAGATTCAGGAATGGTGTTCAAAACACGACTACGATTACAAACGAACTTTGTAAGACAGAAACCGCCTAGTGAACAGGCTCACCATACACCGTCAATTCGAGTAATCGCTTCATCTTCCGTTTCTTCCGACCGTAAACAATTGTCCACGTAGAAGTTCTTCCGTAATACGTTACACGTTTCTGCACCGATATCTTGTTCGCTGTCGTTTGCTGCTTGATTTAGACCAAAATGTGTACAGCTGGGCGACGACACCGCACCAAAGATATGAACATTCATTTGGTATTCTTTCACTTCGTTTGAGAGGTCACCATCAGGCCACCACAGAAATCGAAGAAAGTCGCGTTGATCCTCTGGAACCCGAATTTGATAATACATGGATTCTATATCCGCCGTGAAAGCCACTGGCGATTGTCGAAACCGTAGCAGATCTCCAACGAGTGAATTCGTCAAATCTGATCCTTGCATCGACGTGTCGTTCAACGATATCCCAAGGTACTTCGCGCTACAGTCAAAAACGACTCTCACTTTATTCGGTTTTCTTGGGTGGTACACGCCGTGATGTGGTAAATACCAAATTTTACCGTTGTCTTGCCTTGATGGTGCTGGTGCAATTCGAACGTAATCCTTTGACAAAAGATCACTCATAAACTTGACATAATCCGCATGAAAACTCGGATTTTTCAACAACTTCCTTTTCAACGATTCCATCCGTTTGCTAGCCATATCACGATTGTTTGGCAGATATGCTTGTTCTCCGTCAACAAATGGCAGGCGTAACTCATAATGTCCATTCTTGTACTTGCATTCTTCAACCATTTTCTTTAGAAATGCTTTGTCTTGAATAGAGTGTCCGTATTCCTGTATGCATGGTCTTTCGCTGAATTCTAACTCGAACATTTGATTAAGTTCTTATGGAGTAACGATTTCTTTGACTTTACTTTCGAATACGAAGTGGTGTTGAAATGGTTTCCCAGGCATAATTTCTTCGACGAGAGTTCTATTGCAGCTAACATTAGTTTGAACATCCGAACGAGGCTGGGATCCGATCACAGTCCATCCTGCAAACGTCTTCACTGCAAAGGGTCCACCATCTTCACTCACAATAAAATCGTTTTGTTCAATCGCTTTGGGACAGTTATAGGCCATGGGCCAAGTACCGAAAATGTGACTTTTGAATACCCACCTTGGGGAACCAAAACATTTCTTCAATAACTATTAGCACAGGTATTTTAGAACAAAATTATGTGGTATGCCAATCGTGAGTCTTGCACATTAATGAGAAAAATCAACCGCTTTCTTGACTAATTTGTATGAATTTACTAAATACTTTGTTTCAAATATACAGCATGTTTATATATCTTAACCAATCAAAATGGGTTTTGCCAAGCGATGAACCAATCAGATAAGTGTATCATGTTTCAGTCGCAACAAAGACTATAGTTGTAAACAAATATGGCATCCGTCGGCGAAGGCAGACCGCCAGGGAGAGATTTTGCATTATATGCATATAATAAATAATGCAAGAGGAAAATTAACTTATTTTACATATACATCATGGTGCAATTTTGTGATATTCGCAGCAAAGTGGAAGAGTTTTTTTGTAAAGAGGGCGAAATCGCACATGATTCGGAGGCGAATTTTGATTTGCGTCTCGATTCATAGTGTGAGACAACGCAAACGGATAATGCTAAGAGTTTTCTGCCAATACCAGCCTACTGCAAATTTCACCGGGAGTGCTACAACAGGTTTTGTAACGAACAGAAGCTCGAAAGGGAAGAAAGAAAACAAGCTATAAGGGCGAGAATGCCAAAAAAATGTAAGAGAAGATTGTTGAGAATTGTGCAAAATATTGCGGTGTTTTATTACAACGAACCGTAAGATCAAGTTAGGTTATTCAAAAAACTCAGATACATCCTAAATTCTTAAAAAAGTACGGAAGAGTGAAGACTGTCTAGTATATTGAGTTAAATACACTAAAACTGTCTGTACCAGTGTATAGGTAGTACCAATGTGAAAATGCTGTGCTGAGTGGTTATATTACTACCTTAAAAAACAAGCAAACTCGACGTTTCGAGCAAAGACCCTTCGTCAAGAGTTAGTAGAGTAGAGTTATTGAGTTAAAGTTGCACTATATTTTAGTGATACTAATGTTGACATAGTCGTTTTTTATTATTACAAATGTATTAAAACAATTTCAAAAGTATGCCGCATTTCGGCACTTTGTCTTTAATACATCCTTTCAGCTGAGTTTTATTACCAGAACATATGTATGGCAACAATGTGTTTCAAAAATTATATTTTTCAGGGTTTAATAATCCATACAAGCAGCAAACTGATGCCTATGTAGGTTTTGTTTAAATGTTGTTTTCCACCACTGTTGTAGTTAGTTTAGCATTCAATTTCACATTAATTAACTTTTAAGAAACCGAGACGTTCATCATGGAAGTAAGTAAACATCGTGCAAAAATACATTAACTCCAGGGGTGGACTGTGTGGTTAATTAGTCCATCAGGGTTGGACCATGACCCGGACATCTTTGGGTGCCAGAATTGCTGTTAGCAAAAAATTATCTTTGGATTTAATTTGGCAGCATGTCTCATGAAATTTAGGTCATTAATTGATTTAGCAATACCTCCCTTTCTGATAAAAGTGATTGTATTAAGAGTTAAAAAGGAGGTAGATGATTAACTTTCAGTTTCCCCTGACCAATGTATGAAAGTTTTTTGGAATGACCCAATCTATAAGGGTTGCATCATTCAGTACATTATATGTCATATGTATACCTTTGTAATAAATTCTAATTCAGTAATACTGTACACCCTCGTGTAAACAGTATTTAATTCAAATTGAACAGTATTTGTCCGGAATTTTGTTAAATAGAATATTTCACTTTGCTCTAGAACGTGTTTTGATTAATAGTATTACTTAATTGTGATATATAAAAATTGTTATGCATATTTGAGAAATAATACTCATTAAATAGAGAATAAAGATTCATTTCAGCACCTCACAAACTGTTACAGTTGATTTTGTTGTTTGTTTTGTTAAAAAAAAACTTGTGCGCTTAATTTGTATTACAGGTGTATGTACCACAGAATACCACACAAATTTACATGTTCCATATCCTTTGTCAAATGCATATAACATAGCCTTTTAAATAATTTTTAGTAAATTTTTTAATTATTTTTTTTCTTTCTGTGCGCTCTTGGGTTAGATTTGGCAGATTCTATTATTTTTTAAATCGGACATTCTGTTGAAAAATCCTCATGTACCACAGAATACCAGTGCAGCAATAGGTAATGAGCGGTTTATCAAATTATATGAGGATTTGGTGTGTCATATTGTGTCATAACACTGCACAGATATTGCTAACTTAATTTTGTGGAAGGTTAATACTAAGATCACTACAGAATAATTAAGTTTACCAATAATTTTGAAAAATTTAGAATTTTATAGTAAATTCGATTACTCAGTGAGATTTCTGAATAGTAAAAATGTTCTATCGCTTAGAAAAACTGTCGATAAATGTAAATTATGTTGGTTTGCAAACTTATATTCAAACTTTCTGATTTTACGGACATGCATTAAGCAGAAAAAAAGTACCAAATATAAGGAATTTTATTTGTTGTTTATCCCTATTATTTTTAAAATATATATTTTTCGTTTTCATATGACCATCGAGACTAAAACTAATATATATTTACAAACATAAAGTATATAGCATGTTTCCTTCAAATTTTATAAGAGAAATAAAAAAACTGGTATTAATCTGTGGTACTGTGATATATTCTTTGGTACATACATCTGAACACATAAAATAGTAATATTGCAGATATTACTAACAGAATGCACACCTTGGGCTTGGTAATTGCAAATGTTTTCCAGTCAGTTTAAAAATTATCATCTGAAAACAAAGTTAATATAGAGAGCAATTTGCATAAAATATGAAATTACGCAATACAAGATGGCCGCCAACTATAAAAAAACTTTACACACAATGACTCGATTTGTGACTTAATGCGCAAGTATCAGGCTTGGCATACATAAACAAAAATCAACAATACATAAGCTTACTATGGTGCAAAATTCATCTGGTTCCCCGAGGTGCGTATTCAAAATCGATTTCTAAACACATTTTCAGCACTTGGCCCATGGCCTATTAGAGCCAATGAGGATTCCAATTCTGACGTCGGGAAGGTATGAGGGTAGCTCGATCTTAGAAAAGTGTTTCCATTTAGCAACCAATTCTTCAGTTGGTATCTCATCTTTAGAAGCAGGAATAGTGTCGCGTGAAAATGTCCTTGGAAGATTCACTCGATTATTTCCGTCTATATGCGTTACAGTCAAACCTGTTACGACTTTAGTTTGATGAACTTGTGAACCATACATGGTGTTTACCAGCACGTTCGTGTCTGTCCCTTCGATTTGAAGCTCGCGACGTACATCTTCAAGTATGAATGTTCCAGTACTACAGCTATCCAACATGGCGTACGTGGTAACTTCTCTTTCGTTCGCAATCAGCTTTACTGGCACAAATGGCATAGCTGTTACTGTACAGTTGATGTCTTGTGCAGATGAACTTTCCTTATAGGTGGTGCGGGCACTATTGAATTTGCCATCACTTGAGTTTTGATTTCTATCATCTTCAGATCTCTTCTTCTTGGTCTTAGAGGCAAAATCAGGATCATGAAGAGAGGTTGGATGTTTACCAGGGCATGTTCTACACCTCCTCCGCTGTAAGCATCCATTAGCTCTATGGCCAGCATTGAAGCACGCGAAGCACATATTCTTTTCCTTTAACCAGGCTTTTCTGTTCTCCAATGTTCGTTTAACAAAGGACTGGCAATCATCTAGATCGTGCGTTTCCTTGCAATATGGACATTGATCAGGTGGTAGATGGAGATCTTGATATTCGTCTACCTTCGTTGTTCGATTGTTCTGCTTATACAAAGGGTCGTCCCGACCATAGCCGGACTTTCTTGGGTTCTTTTCTGGCACTTGTATTCTTCCGAGAACGCTACGAGAAAAGACAGGATCATTCGCAATCTTTGCTTCCATTTGGACAAACTTCGTAAAATCTTTCAGGCTGGGAATTCTTGCTCCGTTACCACGAATTCTGATAGCTTCTCGCCGCCATCTATCTTGCAAGTAGAAGGGTAACTTAACGATAAGCCTTTGTAAAATATGTGGATGATCGAGAATGTTCAAATAGGACAATGACGTCATCGCACTCAAACACTGTTCTAGAAACATAGCCAAACGATCAACTACCGCATCATCTCCGGTCTTTATACTAGGACATTCTAAAACTTTCTTCAAATACGCATTCGAAACTACGTAAGGTTCACCGTACTTATCATCAAGCAGTTTCTTTGCTGTCAAATAGTCAATGTCTGCATCCATATACAAGCATCCTTTGATAAGTTCCTTTGGTTCACTGTCCAAAAATTGTTCCAAACAGCGCAGACGGGTACTCGATGACTGTAACCGAGCCTCGATTTGGAATTCAAACGCCCCAACAAATATAACATATTAAATTGGATCTCCAGAAAATTTCGTCAACGTCAGATTTGGGAGCAAACTTTCCTGATGTTGTCTTGTTAACACCGTCATTAACTCATTTTGTTTCAAAAGCACGTCCCGATTTCGTATTTCGACCATTCCAACGTTTTCTAGGGGTTTGGACTCGACCTGCATGGACGTTACGATTGGATTAGGTATCACGTTCTGCGGACTAGAATTTCCCGATAATTCGCGATTTGGGCCGTGTTCAATTTTGTATGTCGTAGTTGGGTTTGATTCGGGTCGGCGTACTCCAGAGTTGATCACAGATACTGCACTTGGCTTTGAGTTGTCCATACCTGCTTCTTTATTTACCGTAGTAGGTATGGTCTTTCCGTCAAGACTCAAGTTCAATTCCAAAATCTCTGTCGTCGACGCTTTTTCATCATCTACGTCGGCATACACCTTTTCTCTGGCTTGGGCCACTGCCAAGTCTTGCTCGAGTTCCATCTTTTCCATTTCGTTCTTTAACGTTTGTCTTTTATCCAGCATCGACGCCCTCGCTATAAGTTCCGCTGTCCTTGCTCTTTCTTTAGCCAATGCAGAACGAACAGAACTGTTTGACGCACTGTAGATGACTTACGAGAACCACGCGAAATATTTGACCTTCGCTCGACGGTTGCTCTTCGATCCCTTGTTTCGCTTGAATGATCCACACATTAACTTTGACTTCAACGTTCGTATACCGTGAAGTAAGATCATTATACCATATGAATACATCCGATTTTTCTTCTTCCCTATCGAGCAAACCTATCCAGTCATTAAACGATGTCTTCCGATCGACCAGAATTGTGTGTTTCAACGCTTGAAAGTAATTTTCAACGATGTAAATATTGTCATAGTTTGACATTAATGACTCGATGTTATATGCATATATTTTTCGATTCTCTTCTGCACTGCCTTGCATTTTTGCGATCTAAGTTCGATTTGATACGCTAAACCTTTCTCAGTAAATCTTCTTGCCCTCAACTCTGGTTCATTTGCTCTTACTTGAGCTTCAAGGTCTTGTTCATTGGAATATTCCGAAGCAAAATCCATGTTGACTGTTGTCTTTGACTATGTTCACCGATCTGTATTATTTGTCTATTTCGCAATGTTATTACGATCAACGTTTTTAACTTATGTCCGTGCAATTAAACGATATTAAGGACATGGATATAATAAACAAATACATTCACCATTCCTCGACTTGTTTTAAACGCATATTTATTTCTATTTTAACCTTAGTTTTAAACGGTTAAAAACGTTGTCGAGACTAACCTAAAAAAATTGAATTACAATATACAGGGTGTATAAAAAAAATGGAGACCTTTAGAAATCAAGCATATTGTTAAAATTTGAATGCCATTTCAATTGCACATATGCTGAACTATGGTGCGTGAAATATTGATGGAGTGCATATATTAGAAAAAGGAGACCTTTAGAAATCAACCATTGTTATAATGTGAATCCTGGAACACTTTGCTAATCACATAGGAGATTGATCCCAGGAGCAGACAATCTTTTGTTTAAACGTTATTTCAAATTCTATAGGTCTCCTTTTTCTAATGTATGCATCCATCAATATTTCACGCACTACGGTTCAGCATATGTGCAATTGAAAAGGCATTCAAATTTTAACAATATGCTTGATTTCTAAAGGTCTCCTTTTTTTTATACACCCTGTATATACTGAACAAATTTAAATTTCTAATTAACTGTTGCGATGGCAGCAACATCCGGTATCAAGAAAGGTAACAACACTATTGGTGAAACAAATTCAAGAGCAAATACACGAACTTCCGGATGATTCAGGAGTACATGAGCTGAAGGAAATGGCACGAAAAGAGAAGAACGATACTTTAAATGTAATGGCTAAATCCGTCATTGACTCGGCACCACCGAAGATGGAACGAATAATCGGGCTTACCTCAGAGAAAAGAGCCTCCTCCTGGTTAACAGTCGTCCCTGTATCCGAGATGGACCTTCATTTAAACAAGCGGGAGTCTAGAGATGCATTGAATTTGAGATATGATTGGCCGTTTAAGGATAATCCGACAAGATGTGCATGTGGAGATCTTTTCAATATCGACCATGCTATGATATGTAAGAAAGGAGGTTTTATCATTCAACGCCATAACGAATTACGAGATCTGGAAGCTGAGCTGTTGAATATTGTCTGTAACGATGTCCAAATTGAACCAGCTCTGCAAGAAGTAAATGGTGAAGCGCTAAACTCAGTGTCAAACAAATCACAAGATGCCAGATTGGATGTTCATTCACGTGGCTTTTGGGAAAGACAAAGATCTGCATTCTTCGATGTCAGGGAATGACACCCAAATGCGGAATCTTATAAAGAGTTAACCCCAAAGCAGATTTATCGTATGCATGAAAATGAGAAGAAACAAATGTATAACCAACGAGTTACTGATATAGAACAAGGAACATTCACGCCGTTAATTTTTACAACAACTGGTGGTATGGGTGAAGAATCCAAGAAATATCACAGTCGATTAGCAGAATTAATTGCCATAAAGAACGGAGAAAAGTATTCAAAAACAATGGCTTGGATAAGAGCAAAGGAACATTGATTTTAACATTGAGAACGCCGAGAGTGCTATCTCTCAAACAATTTAGATTGTACAATATACAAAGTTTAATAGTTTAGTTATTTAGCGGAATATGTTAGTTTAGTTATTTAGCTACTTAGCGGTAAATATTTTAATTATGTAGCGGTATATGTTCCAGAGTTTGTTTTTAAAATTTAACTGTACATATCAACAAACATTTAGACACTTTTTCTAATTATACTCAAAGAACATATTATATAATATAGTCATTGATGACAAAAGCAATGTTGTGTATAATGAAATGATAAATAAAGTTGTAAATATTAAATTATTATTATTATTATTACTTTCCCGAAAAACATTTACAACTTTACCATTCGTTACATTAACAACTCTCTTCCGACGCGCAAAAACCTAAACAGATGGGCAATATCTTCAAATTTAGACTGTTCTTTTTGTCTTAGCCCTGAAACATTACTACACATAGTAGCTGGATGTCAGTTTTATCTCGACCGATTTACGTGGAGACACAATTCAGTCCTGAACTTTCTTGCTCATCAGTTACAAACTGTTGACGGTTCTACTCTCTACGCTGATCTAAATGGATTCAAAAGCCCTTCAATACTTACTGGTGATACGTATCGCCCAGATTTGTTATTATCGTTCTCAAATGGTTCCTTATATGTGGTTGAACTCACCACTGGTTATGAGACAAACCTCAAAA